CCTGCTCAACGGAAAACAACATTCCTTTCCCAAGCTTAGCCAATCACATTGTACTTTCCAAATTCTGGAAAGTTGACCTTGACCGCAAGGTAATCTGATAATTACTCGATCTGCATTAAACACTGGGAAAGCTTTCTGACCTGCAATAAATGTTAGATTCAGAGCGGCAAAAATAAGTTTTAGTCAAAATTCAGAATACTCCGTGCACTGCATAACCTTAGCGAAGGAAAGAAAAGAAGGAAAACGGTAACTCTAAGGTCACGTTCAGTCGTGTTTAGCCTGTCAACACTTCATTGCACAATTGTTGATTGGTCACCTAACACGCAAATAAAACAATGAGAAAGGAATGTTGTTTTCCGTTGAGCAGGCGTTTGTGGGGAGGGAAGAAATACGAGCTCCCCTAAAAACGCCTGCGTGGGAGGCTAGTTCGGTACGTAATCAACGGCTCCGGAAACGTCGGTATTTCGATTTAATTATTCACTAGCTTGAAGTATTGATTACAGACCGGAATGGACTTAATGCGATCACTCAGTCCTGTTGTTATCAGTGTCGGATTCAGGGGAGGGGCCCGGGGGAACCGCCCTCCCCTCCCCCCCCTTATTTTTAGACCAAACTGAGGCCCGAAGGGCCGAAAAAAAATTTGTCTTATCTCGATACGAGATAAAGCAAAGGTTACAATTAGGGTTTGCTTCAGTCCCATTTTTCATTTTCCCGTTTTCTGTTTTAAGAATTTCCACTTCTTCTTTTCTAGCGCAGAAATTAGTTGACTTATCACTCCGGGAGCCGAATGACGAAACAGTGACCAAATACATATGTATATCTACAGCTATAAAGATGAATATTTCATTGCAGGGTACAATAATTTTGTTTTACTTGCGTTTTCTGCAGCATTTTGCCATAACAAAAATCAGTCCGGTCATCACCGCCGTGAATAGCTTTACAAGTTGAACAGTGAAATTTTATAAAACATATGCTAAATAGCTGGATATCAAGTATCATCATCCCGCTAAAGATGAACTATGAGTTTGATGGCTTTGTAGCGTTTTTGCCGCCAATTCTTTGAGTTACCATGCGCGTCATACGCGCGTTTCTGGGGTTTGTCCTTTCGCCGGCAAACGCATCCCCAGGAGGACGTAAATTGTACTGCATGAGACCCGTAAGTATTCATGAACTCCTTGGAGTGGGACTGACGAACTTGACCTGATATTTCCCGATATTGAGACTTGTTAGATCACGTTCTTGATTGTTCTTCAATAATCAATTTTTTTCAGCTGTTTTGCCTCCGAAAGACGTACCTTGCCGCCACTCCTTGCTTTTCTCATAAGGATGGCCTGCTTGTGCTGACTTGCTTGGCCATAACTCCCTATCCTCTCCTTTGAACTTATTCTGCCATCGCCATGTTCCTTGTTCCACAGTCTTCGTTCCAGCGAGACCAACCTTGCGTCAAAACGGTACAAAAAATAGCACAAGAAGCCAATGGTGCACAGGGCAACCAATAGATTGAATATGAACCCATAGCACAGAGAACAGGAGTTGTTCTTTCCATTCATTGGGGCCGTTTGTGAAGGAATTTGTCTAAAACGAACGTTCATGACTTTCGATTTTGCGAAACAGCAACTGTTATGTTATGTAAGTGATACATTTATAAACAGATTAAATTGCATTCCGTAACTACATCCTGCCAAACGGCTGAATCAATAAATACGCGTTTAACCTCTGTTTTAAGATGACATCAACTTCCGGAAGACCCTTCTGCATGCATATTACTTCAATATTCAACGAGAACGACAAGCATATTCGCGAGCATGCTATCCGCGATCGCTATCCGACTTTTCATAACAGAGAACCGGCCCTCTCCTTATGAATTGACTGTAAAATTCAAGACCTATTAACTGCCACTTCGATTCAGCACTATTGTTACCTTACCATTTTATCATCTGGAAATCTATTTTTCATTTATTTAATTTTATTTTTCTTAAAGTTTTTGTCGATTTTGAGCTCTGCAGTTAGTGTCATTAGTGCAAACAGCTGAAAGGCTACAGATCGTGATTGATAAATGTTCACCCTTGCGAATTCGTGTAATCGGTGCGTAATCTGATTTGGGATGTTTTGGAAGATTATCATACCACCCAAGTATGTCGACATTCTTTTCTGCTGACATTTACCTCGCGCGAGTTCTAGCTAAAAGGGCGCGCGCGTACTTGTCAGATGCTGCCCATATTGACCGAAGGGAAATGGTTGCCTCTTCCACAGGCATTAGGGACCTTAAGATACTCTGGACGCGGCCGAGGAGGACGTCAACCGGAAGTGAAATGTTCAATTCTTGGAACTAATTAGTATAATGCCACAGCGTCGACCTGAAGTCGCGACGGTGAAAACTAGAAGTTTGGCCGCCTCCCGGGGGGGTACTCGCAGAAAAATTGGGTAGGGGTGTGCGGCCCGCTTCCCAAAACCCTTACCCTATTTATGACCAAAATCTGCGATTTTCCCTACCCTATTTATGACCTAACCAAAAATTTGATACCCTATTTTGTGAAGGGCTTTTGTTGCTTGTATTTTCTAGCCTACAAAGCAGCCGGTGGAGAGGAAGGCAAAGCGCGGATGGAAGGAGGGGGACATGATAAGGAAGTAGCTTCTTCTAAAAAAGTGCATTCAAGACTACAGTGCAAAAATCGTTACCCTATTTATGACCAAAATAGCCAAAATCGATACCCAATTTATGACCAAGACGGCTGAAAAACCCTACCCTTTGGGGCCGCAGATACATATATAGCCCATATTAGGAAGTACCCCCCCCCCCCCCCGGGGGCCGCCTCGTAAAACGGTGAGTTGGTTTTCTTGTTTTCAGTGCAGAACTTGCTTTTCGTACAGGATTTTCGATCCGTTTTACTTAATGAGACACATTTAAGTGTTTTTAGTGAGGTGTTCTCTCAAGATTGCCTCTTATTATTTTGCTATCAAGCCTTTTGGTTTCATGGTTTTGGCGGCAACTGAGAATGAAAGAGCTGAGTCTTTCGACACAAATGTAACACTATAACTGCTTGTTTTTAAGGGGACAACGTTCTCGCTTTGGGATAGTATTTGAAAACTTTAAGAGACAAGAAGTCGAATAAAAATTGTTGAAAAACAAAAAATCTAGGCTTGTAATAAACTTGAAAATGTCGGAGAAAATTGAGATCTTGAACAAGACGCCATGGTTCATTTATTAACTTTTACAATTTTATTTTGTTCACTTTCAGTTCAGCGATGGAGCGGTATCATATCGTTTTAAAGCAAGATCTAGAACAACGGAAAGCGAAAAAGTCTGGCAACAAATAGCTGATAAACTGAACTCCGATCATACCCTCAAGTTTCCCTCGAAGAAATTCGTTTTTTTTTTTTAGAGAAACTGGAATAATAGCCGGCAGCACAAATTTTTCTTCCAATAAAAGATCGTTAAGGTATCAATCAAGCAAGACTTCACGACTTATGGAATTAAAACACGAAAGCATTACTTTATCCTCTCTCGTCAGGCGAGCACTCAACCCAACCTGCTCAATCTTAATTTGTTTTTCCCGCGAAGGTGGCGGCGTCCTCGCTCCAGGCTTTCTCCGTTCTCTTTACCGCCGCGTCCAGGGTATCTTAAGGTCCCTATTAGGGCAGGGAGCATGGAGCAAGCAAGAAGCGTAAGAGCTGGAGACAAGCAAGTAGCGCGAGAGGGGAATGATGAAGGCCTGGGAATGGGCTCCCGGGGGGGGGGGGTACTGCCATATATGGGCTATATAGGTAGGTGCCGCTGTGAAGAGTATGGTTTTCAAGCAGTTTACTCTAGGATAGGGTACATAAATCAGAGCGTTTTGGTCTAGAATAGGGTATCATTTTTCAGGAAACTGATCAGTTGGTTGAAGATTTTATCTAGACTAGGGATAGGGGGGATTTGGGGAGTTTACTCCAGTATAGGGTAGCAAAATTCAGCTTAACTAGCTCTGGTATAGGTTAAGGGTTCCAGGGTTCCAGCGGCACATCCCCACCCAGAAATTCCTGAAGTACCCACCCACCCCTCCCCCGGGGAAATGGGTGCAAAGCTTAGTTTACCTGGCAGCTGTTTTTGTCTCGTCACGCAACGCTCCTCCTCTCGCGTGACGAGACAAAAACGGCTGCAAGGAAGACTAGGTAGAGCCTTTATCTGATAGGCCATTACCGAGTTCCCCAAGCCTCTGTAAGAGAAACGAGGTCACGTACTCAAAATGATTTTTCATTCTCATGCAAATAAAGCTCATTTTCTCAAGAAAGGTTGTGCACTTGGCCTCATTTTGAAAGTGAGGGCTTTTGGAACTCAGAAGTGGCCTATTAACTCAAATATCCCCCAAAAAGTAATCACTTGCAAACGGGGACAAGGCAGTTTGAGATCGGCATATTTCTTCTCTTCTAAGCTTTGAAAATCTTACCGGAAATCTTCTTTTAAGCCCCCCACCCCCTCTCTAACAAGCATCAGAAAGACTTGTGAAGGCAAAACCACAGCGACACACCAATGAGTTATGAGCCAGATCTTTAGTAGACCTGAATCAATAAAATCTTTAAATTTTATACCAAATTTTGAAATTAAAACAGTGAACTGATCCTTAAAGCAGGAAGAGTGATAGAAAAAATAAAGAAAGAGAACAAATATAAAATGGTGAAAGATATTTGTCTCTTACACCAGCTGTTTCCCTTATTTTACACTTCGCCCAATGTACGGGAATCCAAGACACTCTTCGATTCTGGATTCCATGCTGTGGATTCCAGATTCCAGGTACTAAATTACAGATTCTTTGCCAGTGGATCTTGGATTTCAATCATTATTGGGATTCCAGATCTCTTAAGAAGTATTCTGGATTACAAAAACCCGGGATTCCGGATTCCGGAATTCCAGATTCCAAAACAAAAACTTCCTGGATTCTGGTATTCCGATTCCCTAATGTGGGGTGAAGCACTTAGAAATGAGGGTACATTAGGCATTCATCCACTTTATTCCAGTGTACATATTATATTTATTTTTCAAACACGTTTTCACTCTCTTTTAAACATCACACAAACACTTCACTTACTGACCAATAAATTCACTAAGCTGCTGTATAAAGTCTGAGGATGTTAACGGGTTTCTCTAGCTCATACCCCTTAGGAAAACACCCAGCTCCATTGAGCTGTATAATCAGTGTTTCATGCTTTGGTGGCTGCAGTGTCATTATTGAATTCTTTTTCCATGAATTGGCAATAATATGGGGTCATTGAACAACAGCTGGGTGAAAAACCTCTTGGTATGTGACTGTAACAGCCCGTCTTTAGGAATTTTTATAATAAATCATGATATTTATCACGTATAATACTTTATTTTATTTCCGTCTTTCAAGGTCATAAGAATAATCAAAATGGTAAAATCCTCTCATTGCTCTGTTGGCGAGTCTCTTTGATACCAGTTGGAAGTCATGCTTTGTGTAAAATTTAATAGCAGCTTCTTGAGCACTGGTTGTCAGCAAAACAATTTGTTTATACCCAGCTTGCTTTGCATAAGACAGAAGTGTGTCAAGAAGTTGTTTGGCGACACCTAATCTACGGAATTCTGGTAAAACAGCCATTCTCCGAAGCCTTCCGACAACTTCCCCAGACTTTCCAAAGCATCCTTCGTGGTCGGTATCGGGAACGAGAGCTACCATACCGATTACTGTTCGGTTGCACTCTGCAACCCACAAGTGCGACATCTTTTGCTGGAAATATGTATGTTCTATGTTTCCTAGATCAGTGTCTAAACATCGCTGAATGTACCTTGAGAAACCAATGTGTAACACAGCAAACAAAACAATCAAAATGAAAATGAAAATGATAAAATACAGTGCTAAAAACCAAGAAAACCATACAACACTTAGCACTGCTGCTGGTAATGATAAATATAATCCATAAACAATGGCTTGGTACATGACATCTCGGACTAGGGGACTGCGCATTTCTCCCATGCTTTCAGCAAAGATGTTACGAACCACATCAGCATCACATGACTCAAAAGGACGAATGACAATGCCAGTATATCTGCTTTGTTTGCCATCCAGCTTTGTTGCATTGGAATGTTCCTTTTCAAGTTTCATACCTGAATGAAAAGCAAAGTAAATAGAATTTTACACTCTAGTGCAATGAAAAAACAATTTCCTAACTTGATTTTTATCAGCAAAAGCAAAAAAAAAAGAAGAAACATTAAAATAATTTTAATGTTTCTTCTTTTTTTATTACATTACATAGTCAACTGATTAATTTATTAATTAAATAATTAATGTTAAAAATTGCTTCATTATTTTAAAGCTGTTAAGTTCTAGTTTATGAGACACTCCTGAACTAGATATGCACGAAACAGTTAAGCAGTTTATTTTTAAAATTAAAATTATTAGTTCAGTATATTTAATGCAATATGTTTTCAAATTGTTATTGAAATGTCTGGCAGGTTTAGTAATAATAATAATAATAATAATAATAATAATAATAATAATAATAATAATAATTAGTAATAGGCTTTATTTAAAGAGGGTGACTCTGTGGCCCTCAAAACAAATTACTCACTCTATACAGCCGCAGTTTTGTAAGAAGCAATTGATGATCAACAACGTCAAACGCTTTTCTAAAGTCTACAAAAACCATTCCAGAAAGCTTGTCTTCATCTAGATTGAAGAGGATTTGGTCAGTTAAACTGATCAGATCAGACTCAGTGGAGTACCCTGCGCAAAAAGCTGATTACAATTCATACAGTAAGCCAGTTTTGACAAGGTAATCCATAAAAGAGGCAGCAACATGCTTTTCACAGACTTTAGACAATATGGAGAGCATGGAGATCGGTCTAAAATTGTCCTGACAGTCTTGGTCGCCATCTTTAAAGAGAGGTGTGATGCGCACCATTTTCCATTTAGTTGGAAAACAGCCACTCTGTATAGACAAATTGATCAACCTCATCAATGGCTGTACAAAAACGGGTGAAACCAGCTGTACAACTTTCACACTACACTTTCTGGGATACCTTTTTCACCAATATTATCATCATCTGTAGAAAATTAAGTTTGCCATAACCAAAACTTGGGAAGAGATTCCTACTAAGATAAAAACACTTAGCTACCATAAGTTCAAAAAAGAATATAAGCGAATTCTAGTTAACTCTCAAAGGTAACAATTGTAATATGACTGTCTCACATAACCTGACTGCTGGCATAATCGTCCATAGTTGCCATGGCACCAAGCCAACGTTTATTATTAATCTTTTAATGTAAGACTCTAGTGCAAAGAAAAAAAAATTCCCTACCTTGGTCTCTATCAGCAAAAGCGAAAAAAAGAAAAGAAGAAACATTAAAATTACATCAGATAGTCAACTGATTAATTAATTAATTATTAAATTAATAATTAATTTTAAAAATTGCTTAATTATTTTAAAGCTGTTAAGTTCTAGTTTATGAGACACTCCTGAACTAGATATGCATGAAACAGTTAAGCAGTTTATTTTTAAAATTAAAATTATTAGTTCAGTATATTTAATGCAATATGTTTTCAATTTGTTATTGAAATGTGGTCTGGCAGGATTAGTTTGTGGAATACCTTTTTCACCGATATTATCATCATCTGAAGAAAATTTATTTAATCCCTGGGGTATTAATCTTTTAATGTAATAGCCCTTATGTGACAAAAAATAAGCTCACTAAATGAAATGTGTTTACTGCATATGTTTAAATGTCCAACAAGCTTAAAATATTGTAAGTCACCGACAATAAATCCTTATTCACGGACATTTTAAAGACTGACCTTTCTATCATATTTACGCTTTCACTGATTTGAGCAGTCGATTATCTTGCTGGCATATTCGTTTCAACCCATGTCCATCGAAACTGTCCAAAAACCAAGAATTTTGGAGAAGTTTTGCATCATTTTGGATATTAATAAACTTAAAGAAATGCGCCCGCATTACCGCGAGGAAACTATTCAACGAGATACGTATGTCAAATATGATAAATAAAATGTACCGAACCTAAGAATTTCATCAATTGTGGTCAGATATCTTTAAAACTGCTACTTTCTTTTAGAGAAAATGATTTAAAATAAAAAAAAAGTTGTCCTATTCGACAATGATTTTCAGTACCCTAAATTATCCAGAGAATATCGGGAAAATTATTGGGCTGAAACGCAAGGCACTTTTTCCTTCCCTAATCCCTGCTAGAGGGGGCATTTCGCCGACGGTAGATAAAAGATGATCAATGCAAACAATAGTACTTGTTTTGAAACACCGGTAACAGTAAAATAACTGATAGCTTTGCTCAACAGAGAAGCTCTTATTTATCAATAACGAACCAATCTTAATCAGCGACGATGAGGGAGGAGAAACGTCTGCCGTTCGCAGGCTAGACTCAGACTCCCTGGATAAAAACCTCTGTAATCAACCCCCCACCCCCTCGGAAATTACTCCTTTCGGACCCCCCTCCCCTCGGAATTTGCCTCCTTTCGGACCCCCCTCCCCTCGGAATTTCCGTTGCCCTCCGTGGCGGGGGAAGGGTATGGATATTTTTTGGAACTACACATTACAAGGTAACTGGCCTCAGATGTTACGAACATTTACCTTCCCCTCTAGAAGTTCTGTTTTTCTGTTTCAGTTTTGTACGAGGTAACGCAAAATATACCCGCGGCCCAAACCCTGACAGAATTTTCATGTATGGTATTCAAATGATAAACAAATTTTCTTTAGTGTGGAACAAGCCAATCAGAAACACTTTTCTAATCACGTGATTTCTGAACGCGCCACGTTCAAATTTTGAAACATTTGTCGAAGCAAGATGCGAAGGTTTACAACTCTTCGGTTTCTAAAAGTACAATACTCTTTGGCGAACAATTTCTTCTTGCCATCTTTCCTAACTTTGCTTCAAAAGACGTGAATGGAATAGAGGTTAGACGTGACTGGAACAAAAGCAAAAGGTTTGAAGACGTTGTCCTTTGAATTACGATTAAGTTCGTATTTTGACAAAGTACAGTACTCGGTAAAATGGCTTATTCTGTGGCTTCATTTTCATTTTTAAGTTGACAATCATATTTACTGAGGGTAAATTTCTCTTCATTTCAGCCATATTACAAGTGGAAGTTAAAAAACACTCAAGATTGGCGTGTCCAACAGGAGTTACAAGTGGAATTATCGGAGCAAGCCATTTGAAAATTATCCACGCGAACTTGGTTTACTCGTGGCAAGGATGTTGCACAATAACTCAACCTTCCAAAGGTAAAGACAGTTTTAACTGAAAATAGGCATAGGAATTTCAATTTAGCAATCATTTTGTCCACAAATTGTAATGTTCGTATTAGAGGGACGTTTATTAAAACTAAACTTTGAAAAATGAGACATTTTATGTTGATCCGTACTTGTTGTTCAGCGTTGTTGTTCGATACAGTGTAATGCTACAGTTTAACTCTTGTTTCACCAAATTTGCCTGAAGAATACAGTATTTTAAAGTTATTTTTTTCGAAATATCTTTTCTTCCAGTACACAAGTAATGCTCTCCTGCTATTTTCAAATAAAAAACGGCAAACATTTGCTGTAATAAATTGGAATGATAGCTTCAAAAAAGCATTATGTTCAATAAGCAAAACAACAATTTCGCACGTGCAGCAAAATTTTTGGTACACTTTCTTTGACGTTCTGCATGACTACGACGTTAAATTCCCTAATGCGATGTTTTATGGACGAGACCGCAAGATGAATTTCTCTTTCGGCTGCTTTAATTCATAACTTGATTTTGGTTACCCGGGACATTCACCCACATTTGACATCATCAAGCGACAAAGTTTGAATAAACGCAAAAGTCTTTTTAAAAGTGACGTTTTCGCTAATATATAGGATTCAGCCAGCACTAAAAGCGAAGCTCTTGATAATATTTATAGTTTGCTCAAACAAAATATAAAATCGTGTACTGCTAAAAAGCGGCGAACGTAACGAGAACGGTGAAAAAACAACAATAGGTCTAATTAGCAAAAAAGCAACTTTGCACGTGCAGCACACATGTACAAAAACATCGGACAAAAAATATCGTACATTCAAATAGATCAGAAACAAATCTGATGAAAAATCGGACAATATATCGGACAAATGGATCGGATAAAAAGATCGGACAAAAAAAATCGGACATTCAAATATCTCGGACAAAAAATCTAAAAAAAAAAAAAATCGGACTTTAAAATAGATCGGACAAAAAATTGGACAAAAAAATCGGAGAAAAAATCCGACATTCAAATAGAACGGACAAAAAATAGGACAAAAAACATTGGACAGAAAAATCCGACATTCAACTAGATAGGACAAAACATCAGACAAAAAAATCGGAAATTGAAATAGATCGGACCAATATCGGACATTTAAATAGATCAAAAAAAAATTAGACTAAAAAAATCGAACAAAAAAAAAGGACATTCAAATAGAACGGACAAAATAATCGGACAAAAAAAATCGGAGAAAAAATCGGACATTCAAATAGAACGGAAAAATAATCGGACAAAAAAATGGGAAATTTAAAAAAAAAAATTGGACAAAACATCGGAAAAACATTAAATAGTGTGTTGCAGTGCCAATGAGTAGTTTTTATCATGATATTTTCCAGCATCTCTTCTGTTAGATTTCGTTGCTTGGGATAATGTTTCCATGTTCATTCATTTATATTTTGTCTCCTTTACGTACAATTTTCAGCCCACAGACAAACCAGACCACTTAAAACCGGCAGACCGGTTGAACAGACCATTTTCCTCGCAGCAGATATCCAAACCAGGCCATTTTCCTCCCAGCATACCTCCAGACCAGGCCGTTTCCTCTAAGCAGACCTCCAATCCAGACCTTTTTCCACGCAGCAGACCTCCAGTCCAGACCATTTTCCACGAAGCAGACCTCAGACCAGACCATTTTCCACGAAGCCGACCTCAGACCAGACCATGACCAGACCACCTACCTCCCAGCTTATCAGTCAGCCACAAATTTGCACAGAACGCCCAACTTCCAGACATCCAGGTCAGATCGTTTCCTTATGGGTTGGGTTAAGGGAGGTTAATAAAAACAGCTCTGGATGAACCTTGCAACGCATACTATCCACACACGTTCGGCTTGAAGTCCCTGGACTTCTTTTTCGGCTTAATTTAATCGTAGTTAGATTAGTTGGCGGGTTCCCTGGGCTGGTAAGGGCCTCCCCTTCCCTTTTTCATTCCTGGGTTGCTTTGCAGGTATTCGGCAACGATAGGAGTTCGGCTTTTTCAAACAAATTTCGTCTTCAATTCGGCATTTTTTCGTCTTTTCGTCAGATGCATTTCATCGTCACGTCATCGTCGCCTCGCCGTCGCCGTCGCTGCTGTCTCCCGCTTAGTTGCGCCATAAAGAAAATCAATTTATCTACTACACTTTACTTGACAGTTAATCTGCTGGACAAGTAAAGTTCTTATCCGCAAGGTTCAACCAGATAGATTATTTAAAAGTAGAAAACTAGAGACTACAGACCATTTAACTGTTGTAGCGGGACCTGATTTGGCCACCCCTTACATGTTGAGTGGTTTCTCTAGTTGCAGGTAGTTAATTAGTTTAGCCTCGCAAATTTGGTTAATTCACCTAAAAAAATGATCCTGCAAACTGTTTGGTCTTATTTGAGAGCAAAATCCCGATTGTAGAGTGCCGGAAAGTTTCGGAATGAATGGGTTTTGTACCAAATTTGCGAGCGTACAGTGCAGTGTAGAGATAAGTCTTACAAAAACCTGCGACCAGGCGTACCTTCCCGAGAAGGGCAAAAATCTTGTCGCAGGTTTATCAAGGGCAGCATGGGACAACGCACACACCCTAGGCTAGATCGTTTACAAATTGTAAGCGTAGGAAGTCTTCGAGTCCAACCTACGACGCAGTTTCATCGCCGGAGGAACATCGCCCAGCCAACAGGTTGTTAGCGGAGTTAGTAGCCTGTGGAATAGACACAGGGATACCACTGGCCGCAATCATAGTTCAGAAACACGCATGTGTAGGTGACTTTTCCTTAGCATGTGGGTTTCTGAATTTGCGTACACTGGTACTCTTGTGTATACTTCACTGGCTATAGTTAGACTTGCTGAGCCAGTCAGGTAATGGGGGGGTTTTCTCGTTATGACATTATTGACACTTAGACGACTGGGTTTGTCTTCTTGTTAATCTTGTCCTGCGAGGGAATTCTTCTCAGGAAGCCCTGCATTGCAGTTCGCAGGCACAGATCGTCTACAAATGGTAGGCGTAAGTAGTCTTCACGTCGGAAGCACACTGACAGAGGGTGGTTCGTTTTTCAAGAATTACCAGAAGTCCCTTGTATAGTTAAAGAAGAAGCCGGCCGAAGAACGAAGAACAAAGACGGTCGAACGCCATAGAAAGCGTAGAAAACATAGTCAGTTTAAGTAGACGAGGTAGCTGCCATTGCGGCGATGAAGGAGGCCAACGAGGCATGCGCGACCAATCCAACGATGATGATTATGATGATGATGATGATGATAAAGATGGAGCTGACAAGCATGTCGTCTTTTGCACTTCACAGTCAGTCCTGTGGCCCCTTAAGTTTGACAATTAAATTTAATTTAAAGAGATAACTACCGCAAAACACACCAGAAGCGTGATCGTTTCCCACGCGTACAAAAGCCAAGGACAACGCAGTGTAAACGACGACTTGCTGATTAGGGAGGAGAATAGCCATAGTAGACAGCATATAACAATAATTATAAAGAGCTGGTTCAACTAACATTGATGCCCACCGACGATTAAAACTTATAAAACACGATACAGATGCGCACGTACAGGAAGCAAACTTGGCACTAAGCGTTTTTTTCTTAGTTTTCGTACATAATACAACGAAGTTTGCTAAACGTTTGTTAAGGTAATTTGGAACCAATG